GGCATTTCAGAGTGTCCTGAAAGGTTTTGGCCAGTTCTCTGATTGAGGAAGACTGAGGTCTGATCTTCAAGTCCTATACTCAAACCAGGACTTGCAGGGCAACAGGGGAAAGCTGTGTGATTTCTTGATGTTTCTGAAAGACATGGAGTTAGACAGTGCAATGCCTCAGGTCTACAAACTGCTGCCATTAGTGGCAACGATTGGAGCTCCATCTGCAGGTGTTGAGAGGAGCTTCTCCTGTTTAAAGCGGCTCAAGTCTTACACCTGCAACACCATGGGCCAAGGCCGTTTAAGCAGCCTAGCTCTGCTGGCCATAGAGAGGACACTAGTTAAGTCCCTGGAAAAGATGCCTTGTTGATATGACAGGGTCACAGATCATTTTCTTGAAAAGGAATGGAGAGTAGAATTCATGTATAAATAAACGGACACATTTTATGTTGTAGGCCGAAATTGAGCTTCCCCTCCTTGACAGACCAGCATCCACCAGTATTCTGTACAGAAAATTTGGATGTAGTTATAATATATGCCACACATAGAAGAGATCTGTCAAATGTAGGCCAGACGACGGATGGTTGGAACATTTTTTACGCAGGGATGAACAACTGGCGGCCGGCTGACTGTGGGTGAGAGAAGGAGTAAAACCCCATCACATTCAGACCAAAGGAAATTTTTGTGCATACATATTGACAATATGTATGCCGAACTACGGCCCGCGGGCCGGATCCGGCCCACCGAAGGTTGGTACACAATTAAGGTCCGATGTGAATGATTGCATTAATTTCATTTGGACTTGTAATGACAGGCATTTCAACACAAGTTGGCACAGTTACTTGAAGTTGCAGAGCACAGGGTGGGAGGGGGAGAGGAAGAGAGAGGGAGAGAGATAGAGGGAGAAGTCTTATCTACTACCTGCCAGACCTCTGTCAAACGGAATTTCCCAAACCTAGTAAAAAGACAAACTTATACATTAAACTTTCTACTACTAAATTACATTAACAATCGATTCATAACATAATTGTAAATTTCCCCAGTGTGGGACAAATAAAGGATATCTGATCTCATAACAACGGAGGTTCCGGAAGCCATACAGAAGCCCACAGTAGCGCCAACTCCAGGAACTTCCGTTCGATACGACGGAATAAGTGTGTCCGCGCCGCCGCTATTTTCTATCATTGGATCCAAAACGACGACATTAAAGTGACTCTTGATTGCAGTGAGTTTTACTGGAATTGCGAAAGTTTTTAATTTCATTCATTTACATTTACGTCCTGTAGATCATGGCATCCAAACGAAGAGGAACAGTAATGACCGCGGAAGAGAAAGTGATATGTATCTGGTTAAACAAAGCGGGTTACAAAGTACGAAACATTCAGGAGATGCTTAGAGTCGGACAGACTCAAATCAACGAGACAAGGAAGCGATTCTTGCTCAGTCTGATTCTGGCAATTTCCATGCCCAGAGTGAATTGCTTGTGGCTCGACGGAAAGTCGAGTAAATGAACGTGTGGGTGTGTGTGGGTGTGTGTGCGTGTGTGTGGGCGCGTGTACACTGGTTCATTACCACATCACACAGATGATGTGCTTGTGCATTAAGAAGCTGCTAAATGAATCGGGTTGTTGCGAGCAAGCAAAATAACATGGCTTGTGTTATTGAAGCCCAAAATGACTCTCCCTCTGCATTCATATCCTGAAGCCTTTTGTTCCTCTTTGTGTCTCTTATTATCTAGCCAGAATAATGCTGCCTTTCAGATCTGCATAAGCAGAGTAAGCGGGGTGGGGGTTTGGATCTTTTTATCATACTGGCAAAAATTGTGCTTGTATTATGGAAGCAAGTAAAAATGAATGCAGTGGCGGAGACAGAGGGAGGGGGGCCGAGGGGAACCACTGCCACCCTTGGAATCTGCTTGGAACCCCCAGGTGCCACTCCAGTTAATTGACAGGTGTGCTGCGCGGTTGCCATGACACCTTGCCAACTGTTAGATTATGCCTCTTTGGTGCATACATGCTATGTCTGTTAGGAGCCTCTACTCATAAAAAGTTCAATCCAGCTTCGGCAAAATCTCTCTCTCTCTCTCTCTCTCTCTCTCTCTCTCTCTCTCTCTCTCTCTCTCTCTCTCTCTTTCTTTATCTATATATACCGTATATATAGAGTGATGGTGGAAATTCTGGTCCACCATCCGACGTCTCAGGAGGGGGAAGCAGTGCACCACTAACACTGTGTACAGTGGGGATGGAGCGCTGCTGACTTCGGCTCGGGACGTTGTGAACCGGTGGGCAGAATACTTCGAAGACCTCCTCAACTTCACCAACACGCCTTCCTTGGAGGAAGCGGAGTCTGGGGACCCTGGTGGGCTCTCCTATCTCTGTGGTTGAAGTCACCGATGTGGTTAAAAAGCTCCTCGGTGGCAGGGCCCCAGGGGTGGATGAGATCCGCCCGGAGTTCCTCAAGGCTCTGGATGTTGTGGGGCTGTCATGGTTGACACGCCTCTGCAGCATCGCGTGGTCATCGGAGAGAGAGCCTCTGGATTGGCAGACCGGGGTGGTGGTCCCTCTTTTTAAAAAGGGGGACCGGAGGGTGTGTTCCAACTACAGAGGGATCACACTGTAAGGTCTATTCAGGGGTGCTGGAGAGGAGGGTCCGTCAGGAAGTCGAGCCTCAGATTGAGGAGGAGCAGTGTGGTTTTCGTCCCGGCCGTGGAACTGTGGACCAGCTCTACACCCTTAGCTGGGTCCTTGAGGGTATGTGGGAACTCGCCCAACCAGTCTTCATGTGTTTTGTGGACTTGGAGAAGGCGTTTGACCGTGTCCCTCGGGGAGTTCTGTGGGGGGTGCTTCGGGAGCATGGGCTACCGAGCCCCCTGATACGGGCTGTTCGGTCCCTATACTGCCGATGTCAGAGTTTGGTTCGCATTGC